GCCCCGAGCCAGCGTCACCACCGACCTGCCGCAGCGTCCTTCGCGCTGCTCCAGTCGTAGTCTCCAGCACTGGGCTTTGTCTGCTCCCCCCGTCGCGACAAATCGTGTTCCCTCCGAGGGACGACAGCCGGAGCTGGACGCCATTCTCGCCGAGGGCACGCAGCACTTCACGGCCACCTCCACCGTCCTCCACCTCAGCGACCGTCACCGCTGCGCACACGGGCTTCAGCTCTGCTTCCACGAACGAATTTCCCCTCATTCACCTACGATCAGCACCCTAAATCAGCAAATCACGGCCCCAGCCAAGCATCTCAGGGAAACACCATTTACGTGGCATTGCGGTGAACTGGTGAACTGGCCAGAGCCGCTTTTGGGAAATACCTCATGAGCAATTTATAATTAAAAAAAAAACCAAAAACAAACTACTGAGAAAACTAGAAACGAGCTTCCCCTGCAAGCCAAGCCACGGCTAAGGGCAGGAGTTAAACCCTTCACATTTTCCTGCCTACGAGGACGGGTTTCTTTCCGAGAGACCGGCACCACCTCAACCAGCCGGTGTCCGAGACGCACCAGTTTCGGACACGAAAAATCAAAGATGCTGCATCACTTTCACGCTGAACCCCCTCTCTGGCCTAAAGAGGGATCTATGCGCCGTGTCGTACGCAATGTGAGAGCGTACAGTGCAGCATCAGAGTATTTTCAAGAAAGCCCAGAGGTGCAAGGTAAGATGTAATTCATTTTTCACCATAATAATAATGGTAATAATAACAACTTCATTTGGTAAAACTCAAACTTGCTGTGCCAGGAACAGGTCACAACCCACAAATCTTTAGCGATGCTGCTTCAAACACGGCCCCTCACGCTCGGCGTCTCAGAAACATCATCACCGACGATGCTTTCGCGAGCTCCGGCCAGGCGCACTGCTTGTGTCGCGATCCACCCTTCCCTAAGCGAAGAGAGAAACTGCACCAAACGTGCCCGTTATCTGCTGCTGAAGACAGGAGACAGATTTTTTTTTTTTTGAAAAAAAAATTATTTTATTGGAACTCATCTGAACATCAGATATACCTGGTGTTGGTTAGCAAGAACCGTTTGTACATTTGATATTGATGGTGCCAAAAACCCAAACAGTGACTGACTGGATGAGATGGAAATTTAAAAAGAAAAAGAAAAAGAAAAATGTCGGAGAGGTTAAAATGTGAACAGAAAGCAGAAAAATCAGCCAGTCTAAGATTCAGTGTGAAGGCAAAATATTTCCTGATAAAACAGAATCCTTTTACAAAATATAAATTTTGTAAGAAAAACGTGGCGAAGGAGAGAGAGAAAGAGAGACAGAGGGGAAAGGAAAAATAAAGATGAGCAGGACAGAGATGCAGAAGCTTACACTGCCCAAATGGCGTTAAAACCTAGCTAGGGACCTCACCGTAAAATGCAACACGCTGGAATACACCGTGCTCCACCCCCCGGCTATGACTTTGGGACAGTAAAGGCGGAGGCTCCCCAGCGAGCGCTGCGCTCGGTTATTCCAGAAGGGCCAAGCTGTCTCACATCGGATGTTGAAAAAAGAAAAAAAAAAAAGAAAAGAAAAAAAAGAAAAAAAAAACCAACCCAAAAAGAAACACTAACGCAGCAGAGGCAAATTAATGAGAGTCTGATCAGCGCCCGGCGCAGCGCTCGCCTCCCCGCCGGAGGAGGTTTGGCTCCCGCGGGGAGGCGAGGACTCGGGGAACGCCTGCTCACCTGCTCTTCCTACCAATGCAGGTGGGGGGGAGAGGGAGAAAACATTGAAAATCTAGTCTATTTTAAAACAATAGCATGCAATGCAGGCCCCCGGGGGAAACCTGCGCTGTTCCCTTTATTAGAAACTGGCCTAATGGTGTGGAGAGCGGCCGCAGGCGGCTGCAGGGGTCGGGGCTGCGCAGGGCGGGTCTGGGCTAGCGCAGCACAACGACAATTCTGAAGCGGGTTCCTCGGGTGCGAAAGCCTTCAGGAAAATCATTGTGGAGCGGCTTTCGAGGGGATCTGAGGTCTTTTTAAGATTTCAAAATAAACCAGCAGTCTGTGTATTTTGGGTTTGGGGTTGTTTTCTTTTCGTTCAGTACAAATGGAGTAAACTTGGCTGCTTATACACCGTCAGTAAGTCTCAGATTTCAGAGCAGAGGGAGAGATGAAGCCAACTTGTTTTGGGCACCTATCGGTAACAAAACTTCGTCCCTGCTTAACTCTCTGCCATCCCTCAGGAAGTGGAAAGCACATGTTTAGGTAGTGTAAGCCTTTTTCCTTTTATTTAGAATACCCTCTTTGTTTAAACAATATTCCCCCCCCAGATACAAAGTTCGGCCAGTAAAGATTACATGGAAACTGGAACACGCATCGTATGGAATACAAGATGCACCGGATGAGGAAGTTTAAAAACTTTCCGAGCGAAAAGTAGAACAAAGAGAAAGAAAAAAAAAAAAAAAGAAAAAAAAAAGTCTCCTAACATTTTCCCAAAGGTTTCACTCTCCTGTCACACACACTCTCCAAATGACAGCTAGCAAATTCAACTCTGCAAAAGAAAACAGAGCCACGTCAATCGAGAGGAGAGAAAACAAGCCTCAAGGACACAAACCGCACCTTGGCCTGGGAGGAGCGATAGGTCCGGAGCTGCTGCGACCTCCGGCTCCCGCC